GAGGGCGACGTGGTCCCTGTCATTGGCAGGATCCCTAACGGAAGGCTGCCCGACCAACCTTGCCACTCAAAACGAGTGCTGTGAAGAACCACGGCGAATATGGAGATGTAGCGAAGCCCCGACCCACTCCGTTCAACATCTTCTGCTCGTCACAACCAACCTGCGCAACATTCGGCGGCGAGACAAGGAGGGCAGTGAAAGGGGGCAAACCTTCTCCTGAAACGGGGGGTTTCACGGAAACCCTTTCCGATGACACCGACCGTTTCACAGCAGGCGCGAACCGGGAAGGCTTGCCCGCTCGCGCTCCCCCCCACCCCCCTTTGGGCTCGCCGCCGGGACACGTAATAGTGATGCCGACGCATCCGCGGCGCGCCTGCAACAGATGAGGGGAGGAGGAGCGGGGGTGAAAACCTTGGGGGTTAGAGTTGCACGCGGCTCCGACGCGTCCGCTGCCCCAGGCCACCGCTCCAGCAACACGATAACGCACACATCCCGCCTTCAACCTGGAAGCGCCGAGGTCCTCGGACCCAGGGCCCCTCACGGAGCGTGTGAAAACCAACATTTCACGAGGGCTCTACGCGTGGGCGGCCAGAAGCCACCAGCAGGCATGACAACGACCCACAAAACTGCACAAATCCGGTCATCGGTCTTCGATCCTGCTCGTCGACAGAGAGGAAGGTAGGTGAATCAGATCATAAACGTGTGAGCTATTGTGGGCACCCATAAGCAAACGATTGATTTGTGGATGTGTAAGCAATACGGTGCAAGCTGCGTGGTGAAAGCCATGTGATGCACTTAATGTTTGTACGCGCTGGGTTGTCAACTCTACTGCATGCGCAACCATCCAACCCACCCGCCCGCAAGTTGGTTTGCAAAACCCATGCGGCGGCGATTGCGATGAGTGCTTGGCGTTGGCTGGTGCATCTCTGCGACCGCTTTGGCCCGCGCATGCTCGCGCGCGCAGCGGCCAGCTAGTTTGGCGCGACCGACGCGGCCACGTTGGCGCTGACCACTGGAAACTTCCCAGCGGGCACTTCAGTGCGAGTCGGCGACTTGGGCGGGCGCGGTTTCATGGCAACGTCGACAACGGTTGGCACTATGATGGTAGCAACGATGCTAGTGACGATGATGACAACGACGACGGCAAGACCAGTGACGGCGCCGATTCTGATCACGCCGACGACGATGACGGCGTCCTCGCGTCGGTGATGAAGGCTTTGGACGGGTTTCGAAATGCGCGCGCAGCCGACGCTTGACACATATCGTGCCCCCCTAGCACGCGCGCAAGGGCGTTTGAATGATTTCGACATGCGGCGCGAGAGGCCCGTCTGGTCGAAGTTATTGAACATGTTGCGAAACCCATGGCTTCCTTAATAATTCGCAGGGGCGCGACTGCAGGCGTTTCTTTTACTGTTGGTGCAAGGCCACGTGCTTGTTGTATGCTCCGCGAGACACTCAATCTTGAAAATCCTACGACACCTACGGTTTTTGTTGGATGTCCGCATGTGCGCGCGACGACGCGAACGTGTGCACTTCGCCCCCTCGTTTGCAAAAAGGATTCTTGCAACAGCACCCGCGCAAGGGCGTTCGAGCGATGTCGACATGCGTGCGCGAGAGACACGTTCAGTAGAATTTGATAAACAATTTGAGAAACCCACGTTTTGTTCTTGAGAATTCGCAAACGCGCGAGCGCAGGTTTTTGTGTTCAGGAGTTTTGTTGCGAAACCATGTGTTTGCTTTTTATATGTTTTCGGGGCACTCGGTTTTGCACTCCCTAAACTTGTTGAAGGATTTCGGCATGCGCGTGACGACGCGCGCGTGTGAACTTCGTCACATGTTTTGCAAAGGGGTCGTACACATTAATGAGTTTTGATCAGCGAATGCGCGCGCATTGTTTTTTGCCAAGGATAATGGGGGGATGCTGGCCTGGCTGGGATGGTATCCGTGCCCTTTTAGAATGGACGGACGGTGGGGCATAACCATATGTACATTGCACTCTGAAAAAAACAAGGTGCCATTAATTCTGGGGGGGAGATCCTAATACTCTTTTAGATCGGAGAATATACGTTGTGCAAGCTATAGGCGGCAACGAGACTTCAACTGGCGGCAACGTGGGAAAACCTCGCCAGACCCATAATTACAGCGCACGAGGCAGCAACGAGGCGGCAACGGGCGGCAACGTGGCGAAACCTCCAGACCCACCCAGCGCGAGAGGCGGCGACGAGGCTGCAACGGGCAGCAACGTGGCGAAACCTCTCAGGACCCACCCAGTGCACGAGGCGGCAAGGAGGCGGCAACGAGACGGCAAAGTTACGGAACCTCGCCAGGCCCATTCAATTGCGTAGAAACCCAATCAGAACCCACTAAGTGCAAGAACTGTTTGGGAAACTTTCGGAGGTCCGCGCGACCTCTTGGCTCGGCTGTGGTCCGCGCCCCCCCCCCCCCCGGCGCGCGGAGCGCGCAGGGGCGGCGCCGGAGGCGCCGCCGGGCGGGGGGCAGCGCCGATCCAGGAACTCCACGCGGAGCCCCGAAAGTTTAGGTTTGTGCAGTTCGCTCTTCTGCGAAGCAGGGCGGCAGACAGCTGGCGCTGCCATCCTCAGCGTGAGGCGGACTTCTTCGTCACCAGCCTGGCCTTCGCCCTGCCCCGGGGCGCCGCGCTCGGGGCGGCGGCTGGCCGCTTCGCGATCGTCTTCACGGCCGCCCTGCCCCCGGCCTTTGCCGCTGCCTTCGCCGCGGGCCTCTTGGCGACCTCGCCGGCATCGACGCGGGTCGAGGCTTGCTCGGGCTCCGGCACGAAGGCGTGGCCCCTGTGTGCAGGCAGCGCAGGGTCGCTCGGTCTACCGCGGCTGAACGGGAAGATCGGCTACACCCAAGAATGACCCTGGGCAACGGGTGCCCTCTGGTGCGGGGCCGAAGGGGGTGCCTTTTGAGGGCACAACCAGGCGCGCAAGCTGCTGCTGTCGTATCGCGCTCAGAGATCAGGAGACCCCATTGGGCCCGCACCAACTGTCACTCCGACGAAGATCGGCGGCAAGCCCTGGGGAAGTGAGAAGGGGCGGGCCTTCTCAGAAGGCTCGGGAGCCCCCCAGCTTGTTGAGAAATTCCTAAGCCTTCCCCGAAGGCACGGAAACCTTCTCAGAGGGCGCGAGGGATTCTGAGAAGTCCCGCCGCCTTAGGAGAAGGCCTTCTCCTTCTCACGTCCCCCCTCGCTCGCCGCCGAGGCAAGTTACTCTTAAGGTGTAGCCGAGAAGAGCGCGGCGTGCCCCGCGTCAAAGCCGGAGCCCGGGCAGAGGTAGAGGGTGGCGAACTCCAGCAGCACACTCTCACCGCCCCCGAAGCTCACGGCCCCCTGCGCGGCAGGCAGCCGTGAGCACCCGCCGCGCAGGTGCTGGTAGATCGCGTTGCCCTTCGCGGCGTTCTCGAAGCTGCACTTCTCGAAGCTGGAAGAAGAAAGAACGGCACAAGCACCACCCGTCGGCGGTCCGAGCGGATGTCTTGGATGCCGCGCCTCTGGCGCGCCAGGGGCGGCGCCAGAGGCGCCGATACCG